GTACTGTTTTGGCAGCTTCTCGCTTTCATTTTTGTTATCTTCCATGGATGGCCCATCCTTGGCAACCCGATGCTGGTCTGAGTCCGCGTAGCATTTTTGACTCTCACCCTTATTTTAATTTCTTTGCTTCTTGTTTTATTACTTGTAATCTATTGTTGTGGCCCTGCGGGGTCTTTGGTTGTATCATTTCTTTTTTAATGTATTTTCTTTTCGTGAAAAAATAAAAATGAAGATTCTTTGAAGATCAATTTTATTTCACTATGCTCTATTAAAGAGAATGTTAAGAAAAATAATCTGAAAAAAGATTAGTCATATTTTAAAATTCATAAATTTGTGTCCTTATTGATAATTAAAAATTTATGGTTCTGTCCCTGCTTAAAAGCTATGAAAATCTTTGTTTATGAAACGCCATGAAACGCCCGATTATTGCTATTCTATCTTTTTAACGTATTCTAACTTTCATCTTTGTAATTGGTTGATGCCTCAATGCTAAAAAAAATATTTTTTATAGTCAATTTGTTAGAAATTAAAATTTTACATTTGGGTTTTCATAAAATATTTTACTTATTATCAACGGATTAATCTTGCCAATAATACATTGGTAATTTGAATAAATCAACCAAGGCGATGAACGAGTCCTCTATTTGGCGGAAGATCATTCAGCTTTGATAAGCATTATTTATTTATTTTCTTAATCATTTTGAATGTGAATATATTTGATTTTATGTCATCTATCTTATTTTATCTATCACATGTGGGGGGAATTTCACTCATATGGAAGGGGTTGATACATTGGTGGCACATTGAATTGCATCCAAAGGTGAATAGAGATAACTTCTATGCTATGGCCTATCGGCAAGCTACGAAGAAATTATTACGTGAGTTTATTGGACGGTCTAAATTTGAATCAGAATGCGTCATATCACTCAGGTATACAATACTGATACATAACAAATGGTGTCATGACGCGTCTTGATTCACCTCTAGACGATGTCCAGTGGCCGCACATAATAATTTCACCAAGCTATTAGCCATTCAAGTGTCCGCACAATAATGAAAAGCATTCACTTCTCTCTCTTATTGACATTTTCTCAATATATTTTTTCTTTCTTCATACAAAATCTTATTATGCTTATAATTAGATTTCATTTAAGCTTCGTTTGAGACAGCTTGTTTTTACTATTTTTTTAAAATAGATTTTTAGTACATAAATTTTTGAATTAGAAAATTTTTAGCAAAAAATTTACTTTTAAAAATAGTCAAAAAAATCATGACAAACAAAATCTTATTCCATTCTCAATTCAAGTTTTTATGTCTTTTTTTAGAATATTATTTTACTTTTAGGCTTCGTTTGGGGCGACTTTCTTACTATTTTTTAAAACTGCTTTCATGTAAAATTTACATAGAAGCTGTTTTAAGAATCAGTAAGAATGCCGTCCCAAACAAATCCTTAGTCTATTAGATTGAGTTGAGAGTCAACTCCTCAAAATTAAATCATTGAATATAATTTTCTTAAGTCAAATAATTTGATTGGAATATTTTTTAATATATTTAGAATGAAAAATTGAATCAAATATCTTAAAACTTATTTTAATTTTTTTTGGGGGACATTTAGGTTATTTAAGGCAAACTCACAAACACAATGCATACACAAAGACGAGAACCTAAAATCTCTTAGTTGGAAGCCTAAGCTCTTAACCAACATGTCAAGGTGAGTTGTCTCTTATTTTAATATTTGAAAAAAAAATGAAACATGCAGCAGAAGTTATTGCGAGGAGAGTATCTTTGAAGAAACTAATGGATCAAGAAGGAAAAGAATTGCTAAGAGAGAAGAAGAACAAAGGTAGAATTCAATCTATCGTGTATTACACAACAGCCTTCAAGTCTATTAAATAGACATGGGTAGTACGGCTCAAGAAGAGAAGAGCCATTCACAAATTTACACCTCAGACAAAGTACAATTTGTAACAGAAATTATTTTGAATATTTATATTTCTGGTTCTAATACAAGTGACTATGACCCATCAGTTTGCGACGAAGTTTATGAAAACGAGGTGTGGAGAGTGCCTTGGTAAATATGTTGCGCACTTGATCTGTTGTACTTATTGGTAGAATGGAGATGTTGTTTTGTTAAATGTGGTCTCGTACGAACTTTTGGTCGATTTCGATGTGTTTCAAACGAGCATGAAAGATCGGATTGTTTGCTAATGCGATTGCTGAGGTGTTATCACAGTATATATTCGTTGAACACTCTTGAGCAATACCGGATTCAGATAGAAGCCTGCGGATCCAAATTATATCCGCAGTGAGTGCCGCCAGTGCATGATACTTGGACTCGGTGGTTTATCAGGCAATCGTGTGCTGTTTCTTGACTGTCCATGAGATGATTGTGTTTTCCGAAAAGGAACAGTAGCCTGATGTTGATTTCCTGGAGACTGGGTCTCCTACCTAATCAGCATCTGAAAAAGATTGTAGAATAAGATTAGTATTTGTAATTGGTATACCAAAGTTTGACGTACCTTTGATGTATCGCAGAAGACATTTTAGAAGATAAATGTGTTGAGGTTGAGGATCATGCATGTGTTGAGATAATTAATTTACACTGTAGGCGATGTCGGGGCGAGTAATTGTTAGGTACTGTAATGACCCAGTGAGTCGTCGATAGAGAGTGGAGTCGTGAAGAACGGTTTCGATGTTGAAAGTATTCGAGAACTTGGTGCAGGTGGGATTCACAAGATCATTGCAGACTGTGAGGTTTGCTTGCTCCAGAATTTGGTGCACATATTTTTCTTGAGAAAGGAAGTAGTTGTTTGGATGCTTGGTTATTTTTATACCAATAAATTCTGATACCCTAGGTGTTTCATGTTGAACTCCGTGTTGAGTATGGCTAGAATTTTTGTAATAGTGTCCAGATCGTTTCCAGGTATTAGAATGTCGTGATGTTATACCAGTTACACCTGCAGCAGCTATCTGGTCTACCAAAGACTTGATGTCGGTGAGATGTTGCGTCGTGTTGGAGTTCTTGAAGGATATGTTGTGGAGTTCATTCATTAGTTGAATGACTTTGGATCTGTTTGTAGATTGAAAACGCTTTTGTAGTGACAACCAGATGGCTATCGTAGTTTCCAAGTAAATGATGTAAGGAAGAACCGTAGGGGATATCGTAGAGCAAATGGAAGTAGAA